TGGGGGCTCTTTTTCTTCGAGAGTTTTCGTGAACAGACCCATGTGTTATAGTAGTCAGTGACAACTTTGATTAAATCCTGAGAGAAATTTTCAACTGTTGTTACTTCATGTGAGTTGTACTAATCAAAGACACGTGCCTTGAAGTGATGCTCCAGGCCCGGTGGGATGATTATTCTAAGCCTAGGTGTTTTAGGGGCTGAGTTGCTGTCAACAGTATAGTCAGTTCGGATTGCAAAGTGGTCACTTACTAATTCTCGTACCAGTGAAGTACAGACATTACCAAGAACTAGATTTTTGCCATCTAACCTGCCGCCTCCCAAATGAGTTTCTATTTCTGTGTTATATACTGTCAGTGATCTATTAATGAAATGTTTGAATTCTTCCCCATTGCTATTACGCTGGCTGTCTCCAAAGTGTGGGTGCCTTGCATAACGTGCCTTGGTTACAAAAATTGGCTTGTATACTACAGGCTATAGAAATATAGCTGTAGTGCTACACCGCCCTATAATGAGGCATGTCTAACCTAACCTAACCCTTGTATCCCAACAGTTAACTATTTTATATCGGTTAAGTATAGTAAAATTATTATTTTTCAACTCCTTTGTATAAAGTGAGGCTATTACAGATATAACATTATCGTCTTCTCCCGAGGTTAATAATTAAGCTTAGAATATGTTAAGTAAGGTAATAAATGATATAAGTAAGGTAAGGTAAGGTAATATGATATAATAAAAAATCCCTGCTATGTGCCAACAGTATATATTTACTTATATGTTTATATAAAACACTGTAGATGTAACAAATTTGTTTTTCTCGCTAGATTTAGCAGGAATCCAAGATGTTAGCGCCTGGCGATCCCTTTCGTTCGCCAGGCCTGGCGAACACCTGCCTTGGGTTTAAAAGTAAGGCCTCCCTCATTCAGATGTTCGCCTGGCGAAAGCCAGCATTGGCGAAAGGTTTTAAAAGTACTTTATACTATACTGTATGAACTTTATACTATTATACAAAAAATAACTTTATAATTTAACAAAAGAGTTTTAAAAAATACTATTTTACTATTCCTAACTGATATAAGAAATTGAACTGTAGGCCTACAAGGGTATCATTAGACACGCGGTGGAGCACTACAGCTATGTTTCTATAGCCAAAAGTAAACATGCCAACATCAAAACACTTTCGGTAACCTTTGTGAAAAGAACATTATCCTTACAACCAAAATAACAACCTAAAGCTAAATAAGTCATCTCGGGGGTGGGGGTAGGGTAGGGGGGTAGGAATACAGCTGATGTCTTGAGCTCTTGACTGGAACATCGAAGGTCTTGAAAATATAACTACGTATATACGTTATTTCATAATAAATTATGATTTTAAGATATTTTAGAATTTCAATGTGATTCCTACATCATATCATACACAAATATGTCACTAATTTATAATTTGAATGCAAGAAAATGTTATTCAAACAGCTCTCGCGACTTTGCTTCGCCAGGCTGTTCCATTACGATCTTTCGACAGCCCTGGCGAACGTTCGCCAGGTATGATTTTAATAGTACGAAATTCCCGATCGCCCGGCGAAGCCTTTCGCCAGCACTGGCGAAAGGTTTTAAAAGTACGGGCCTTAGCTTTGTCCCACTTCTTAGCACAGTCCCCTCGGTTGTTGTGCCGGGTGTACCTGGGGGGCTGATGACGTCACTGGACTCCTCGTCTGACTTGGTGCCGCAGGGATCGTGGTAGTGTTCGTCGCTGCTGTCAGCGCTGACACGCCCACTCTGGTTATCAGCACTGATGTCCTGACATCGTATCTGCTCGCTCATTTCTTTAACACTAATAGCAGCACTAGTATCTCGGCAATGACAGTCCCTTTACATTTTTCCCTTGTCCTGTCTCAAGTTATTGTTTTCTTGTCTCAGAGCTTTGATTTCCTTTAGAAGCTCCAGCACATTTATGTCACTATGGTCAGCTGGCGTGACGTCACTTCTTCCACATGGTTGTGTGGAGGATTCCCCGGCCAGGCCTGCAGTCATCCCTGCCCGAGGGTGAGGGACGGCCGCCTCGGCTGGCACCTGGGGGGGGAGGGTGGTCGCAGTCTTGAGCTCTGTGATGACTAGCATCATCTTGTTCACCTGCTCCGTCAACAACGCAACCGTGTCGCATAGATCGGCTACCTCTGCATTCCCACTCGCTGGCAGCCGCAGGAAGTCTCTGCGTCTGGTGACGTCACACACGGCACGGTTGGGCACTCCCCCGGCACGCTGGCCGCGGGTTGGGCTAGGAGGGCCGCGCTGGTCACTCGCGGTCGGTGCCGGGGCCACAGGGGGTGGGGGAGGGGCCAGGGCAGGGAGGGCGCGCTGGTCACTCGCGGTCGGTGCTGCGGCCACAGGAGGGGGGGGGGAGGTGCCAGGGCAGGGAGGGCTGTGCACCCCCAGTGTCAGGCATCACACCTGCCTTCCCACACCTGAAGCAGGATGGGACGAAGCTCGGTGCATCTGCAGCAGGCTCT